AAACCGCCGATATATATATATATATATATATGTGTGTGGCAACAAGATAATCATCGAGAGTAGTATATCCCGATGTTGCGGAATATAGATAGCTCGGGCTCATTTCTTGGTTGTTCCGTTCAGCGAGCTTGGTAGCCGGATCGCCAACAAAGCTGACATTTTTGAAGACACCGTGACGTTTATACAAAATGTGAAGGTCCATAGGCGTGTTTCCATCAAGATTCAGGCAGACGCCTTTTTACAACACTTTTAAACATTCGGTGGCAATTCCTTCTCTTGCAGGTAGGATATCGGACTATTCCAGAACAATGCTATGAAGGCTCTGACTGTCAAATTTCAGAAGGGCAACCACAGATCAATGAAGCTTATCGTTCATAGTATAAACCTAACGTTTTGGATCCATTTTGTCTGCATTTTCAAATGTGTAGTCATCTTACGACGTCTTAAGGCCTCATCGTGTCAGAAATATGATGAATTCCAGTCGCTTAGAATGTGCTTCATTCCGGACGTGGAAGGCAGTCCCAAAGCCAGAAATCACCTGCCGAAGGAAGATACTCTTGACTCGCAATCTCGCTCGTCAAACAGAGGTATTCTGTCCTAGGGAGCCATCGAATAAACACTGGATCACATATGGCCTTGCGAGACCTCAAACAAGGTAACAGGGTAATCAGGCGAATATGCGATTCCAAAAAAATTTATCCAAAGATTCATTGTACTTCTCCAATTATTATAAAAATCACTTCTGTTAGTGAAGTGAAATCGATCGTCTATGGTTGTTGATTTGTTCATTAAGATTGGCAAATCAGATGCCCGCGTTTCACCATCATTCGAGGCGTCAAAAAGACCGCACTGATTGTGTCTTCTCAACGGGTAAGAAAAGCTTTGCCATTGAATTGCCAAGCTCGATGAACAGACCAACAAAGAAACGGCGCAGCTGAGTTGCCCAGAATTCGATCTGCCAGGAAGCCTATAGGCACTATACAAGTGTCTCATCCCTGTCGGGAACCATCAGAGGTGCGCACCTCGTGAAGCCCTGGGACCATTCATTAGTTGTTTAAAAACTGCCAAAGAGCCACCAGTGGTCAATCAGCTGTGAGTAACTTGCATTGGTCAACATATCGAAATATAGGTCGCTCGGGTGTTTACCGGGCGTTGATCAGAGGGTAGTTGATCTGTTCGCCGAGCTTGGCAAGCACACCATTGCGTGTTCGATCAGGGAGTTCCATTGATTGGTCTGCCATAGGGGAGAAGGTTTGTAGCTCAGGTAGCATAGATGGTTGTTGGTTTGTTCACTGAGCTGGGCAATTCGATTGCAAACGTTTCAACACCAATCGAGGTGACATCATCAGTGCGCTGTGGAGAGTAACGATGGGTCGGTGGCTGTGCCATTGGTTGGTCTGTAACCTGTCCTAATTGACCGATCACCACGTGATCTTTGAGCTTGGCCTCCCGCGCTATCGCATCCTGGTAGGTGATGGAGTGATCCTTGTCCTTGAAATTGTGTGATTTCTGTTGATCTGACTTCAATGAGTTTCTTGTTTTTTAGTTTGTTAATCCGATTTTCGATAGCACTATAAATATGTAACGTAGTCCAGGTAATTTAACTTTCACTGGTTCATCGAGGAACGACCTCTTCCAGAAAGGCCCGGATGAGAGGAGAAATGCTTTTTCCTTTTCAAGCAAGCTGCTTACGTATCGTAGAAAATCAAGGCGATGGATTCTGATACCAAACATAGAAACTCCTTAACGTCTGTGACATTCTGGAGGTTATTTTTAGTTTGCTTCAAATGATTTCATCCCACCTAAAACCCCTACAAGTAGACTACGCCCGACATGAAGCAAATCCACTGGGAAACCAGAGGTTGATTGCGGAGCTCCTGGTCTAAAAGAAATAATCACACAAGTAGGACGGAAAATAGGCCAGTCGGTTATACATTGTACAGCATGAAATAAGACACATCTAAACAAGAAACGAAAGACAAAACCAATACGCTTGTTTCCTCAGTACACTTAGACCGGGTTGATGGCAATTGAAGTAGTCTCTGAAATCGGAAAAGGCATGTCAGAACATGTTCGTAAGTTCAATTTTCCATATGACTGTGGAAAGGGCATCAGGCAATGGACGAAGGTAATCAAGATGAACCCAACTCGACATCGTTGTGGGGATGTTGGAAAGAAAAACAGTGCTTCAGTGAACTCTGCCTATGAATGTTGCATGCATCTCGAAGTTCCTTCTTTGTTTATCGACTTGCAGCAGACTGTCGACAGTTAGGCTAACAGCGGTTCAAAAATGTAAAAGGAGCTATGACAGCATATCTGTATTGTGAAATTCCAGACTGAGGTGGCGAGAACAAAACAAAACATCATCTCCGAAAATATCTCGAGGGTCTGTTGCGGATAACAATTCGATATCAGAAGTGATGAGGTACTGACATTGACGGTGAATGATTACAACAGGATAGATCACTTAAGTGCAATTTACGGACTCTCGCAGTTAACTTACTTTGAAAGGCATGATGGAATGACGCTTGCCCTGTAAACCAATGAACAAGAGAAAGATCGGAATGAATCAGATAACATTTGAACCAATAAGTAGATATGTTATGCACTGATGATGGGCGTTCAGTGACCTGAGCTCGAGATGGCTCTGGTAAGTAAGCTGTGTTTGTGGTTCAAACCCTATCTTGGGTTTTCTGTCGCTCTTGCTTGAACCTGGGCGGCCATATAGTATCTTAATCATCTTGTTTATTCCGAGCGTCAGGACAACCAATCACCAGAAGGGCAGGACAGATGGACAACTTGATATTCTTTTTTATTCGACAATCGAACGAGTGATTGGATCTAATTATACGAAAAAAAATAATCACCCAACAAAAAATCTGTTTTTTTCTTCCTTTGTTTGTATTGGACACTGCGAAGTATGGAATATTCGACAGCTTCGCCTGGTGATTTGTGCCTTTCTTTAGAGGTTCCACCGCTCTCAGAATCTAATTGCATACCCTTAGGCCACTGCCCTAACTCCTCCCATCTTGTTCGAAAACTTGCCTGCGAACCAATCACACAGTGGCCAGTCACTACCACGCTCACGATCAGAATGGTAATTAAAAAACTCACAGTTAGGAAGCTAATACTGTCAAAAAATGTTCATTCTTTGGGGCTCGAATCGGTAAGGACCGCTTTCCTGACAAGTATAGTCTAGATGCCTTTTGAATTTTTCGAACAGAGGTGAGCATTGTTTCAGGACTGGGACTGAACAGACAGCTGGATTGAAGGGTGCAACATCAAAAACTCTTTTCACATACAGTGCGTACAAATCAAAATCCCTAATGGAGAAAGGCATACAGCGCCTTGTTGGGGTGCCTTGGAGCTCGCTAGATGCAACATGGCGCTCAAATATGCTTAGTAGTAGACTTCATTTCAAAAGCGGATTATGCTAAGCCTTTGTGAGAGATCACTCAAACTTAGTTTCATGCACCATGATGACCCCTCTTTCGATTTCACCATGGATCTCGGGGTCTATTCACTGAATTGTGTTCGAACGAGAATTCTCATTTTATGCCAGGAACGTCCTTGGTTTTGATTTGGAGTATATGCTTTGATTGTAGCTCGTGCAGTGGTTGAATGGAGTTGGAAGAGAGGTATCATCAAACAAAGCCTTCTCTACGGCATCCAACCACCGTTCACGTCAACTAAGCAAGGATGAGATTAGAAGAGAAAATGGATTTCCGGATTCATCACATGGGAAACTAGATAAACATACCAAGGGTGCCAACATCTTGTTCGCAAGAAACACATTTAAACGATAATTTTTTTGTTTTTTCCTTTTTTTCTGCAAAAATTTTCGGCCACGTCCACTGTGCATGGTTCTGAATAACCAGGCTAAACGGCTGACTTTTTCCAAAAAAATCAGTGGCCCTTAAAACATATATTGGAGTGGATTTGGCAACGGCTATTGATCAGTACAGTTATGAGCAAAGGAATTGTGGAAAGATGACCACAGTTATCTAACAGATGACTACAGGTGCCTTAGGAGACAGACCGGACGACACAATATTAAAAAACGGCCTCACCTGCCCGTGAAGCAGTGCCTTTTGTTCCTCAGCCTTCTTTTGCTTCCAACGACGAAACCATTCTTGAATGAGAAATGTTGCGTAGAACTTCCCCACAGTCACATCATCGTTTCCTACGACCAGCAGGAACAGAGTGCAGACATCAGTGTGCAGACAACTGATTGGAAATTGCACATTTTTAACTACTAATGGTCTCGCTCCAAGACAGTACAAAGTTTGGACAATACATGCAGTACTAGTGAAAATTATTCACTACTGGCCAGTCACCTGTGTCCCGGAAGAAGTGGGATGAAAAAAGGGAAATACTAGACGAAAAGTTGGGTTGAAGGCTGCTACCGTAGAGCCATGCAATCGGTTAGTTCGGTGACTAGATCACCAAAACACATGCGTGGTTCTGCCGCATGCTCCGCTCGTAATAGGAGGAAGAGAATGAGGAAAGAGGCAGAATATACGCAACCCAAAACTTCTGTCGTGCAGTTCTGGGTTGCGGTTATTTGGTTTATAATCAGTACATAAGGTTGGAAGCCGTATTGAGTAGACACCTAATTATCGGTTTCTGAACGTTTTTGGTACTTGTCTGCCCTACCGAAAAATTCCGAAGCTGTAGAATATTGCCTGTGAAATACGGTACTTTAGTTTATTATCGTTGTATAAAAGGACGGGTAAACAAAATTTCACTCTTGGAAAAGCACAAGATTATAGAAGAAATCTCCGATGAGTATTTCGCAGACACGAAACAGGTAAAAAAGGCTTTGCAGCATTGTTCGTCAAGCTGGGTCACTGGATTTCAAAAGGAAGTCCGCTGGAGTGCGGTACTCGAGGAAGAAATCAACCGATGAGCCTGTCAACGTAGATTCAGTCAACCTGGCCCTGAAGAATTAATAAACGGCGGATATACGAACCCTGTGGGAAACCGAACAGGATATAACAACAGTCGAAAAAAAGAACCGAATACGACTTCGGATGGATTACCACCACTCAGATCGAATATCTGGGACAAACGGTGCAAGCAAGTGGTATGGTGCTTCAAGGAGAAATTCTCGAACAGATGCATTGAAATCCACCCAACCGCGCAGTCTCTTAAAATTCGGAGCAATCACGCTCATGGTTTTCCGAGAAATCAAATAAGAAATCAGCAGAATTGACTAAGAATATTCAGTGGATAAGCCAATTCGATGGGAATTCACAACCAAACAGAACAAGGGTGAGTAAATCTGAAGACCGAACAGAGCAACTGCGTGAGTCAAGGACAAAAAAATCAGATCCCGACTAATCAACCTAGAGAGGAAAACTGCAAAGAATGGATGTTCAGTTGACCAGTGGGATACAGACAAGAACGAGAGCAAATGGACCAAACAGCATAGAGGAGACTCGCTGAAACAAAGCCATACCAATCAGGTGCAGAGAATAGGACATGGTGCAACAAACGATCCAGTAAAGTTACGTGAAATCCCATTCTCGACAAACCAACCACTCATTAGATATACTTCAAAGGTAAGCAGAAGACGAGGAAGTGCCCATCCGACAGAGTACTGGAGACGTCTACTCAAGTAATGACGACATCTTTGTAGTTCAATTCCCATGCTCAGTGAATAAAGCAAAACCGGTTGGACTTTGAGCTGCGCTTGTTGCCAACCGATGGGGTGGTAGTGAGAGAAGTATTCATCCACAATGGTATACCCATACAGCACATGAACCAGTAGTGGATGATGACATTTAAGAAGGGCAATGAAATTCTGTGGGACATTTTTTCTGCACAGCATATTACTCATAAATCAAGCTGTGAGTAGTCGTAAAAAATTAATGGCCTGTTGTATGAAGCGGGCCAATATGAAGAAAAACAAAAAACCCAAGGGATAAACTTGGTACTGGTCATTGTAACAGACTTGGTAGCAATCTCATAGTCATTAGTGATCAGAGTACATTTACGGATTCCAGTTAGACATTCAAAGTGAAAACGCTCCACTACGCTGAGGATAAAAAACGTGCGTGAACTGAGGAAGGCTGGAGGAACATACTACACTCCTATCGTGTTAGTTTCGTAGGCCCTACGGTGAGAGTTTAACATATTGGTCAAGAGTGGAAGTGAGAATGAACCGGACCGTTAAGCCCGTTGGAAGACAACGTTTTTATATTGAGCTGTCCTACAGCCCTCGCTGGACAAAGACAGGACCCCGTCCACTGAATACCAGTAAACTCTAAACATATGAACTCTAGACGAGTAATACATTCAACTAATTGTATCCCATCAGGAAAACCAAAACCAGCTGACGTCGAAACTTGAAAATGGGTACTACTCGCAACCTTCGTCGGTCTGGGATGGGGTTTTGGCGCCAAGCTGTTGCATTTCAGGCCGTGCGTAGAAGTGATGTAATCAAATTGGGGGCGATATGCTTACCTAAAGATGTTTCTAATCCGAGTGACTAAAGCCACTCTTCGATAGCACAAACTCACTGTCTGAACGCATGACGTATCCTTATCAAACGGGACGACCTGGTGAGCGAGTCTAAATAAACTCCAAACAAGCTAGTTCCGTTTCAACTCCTTGATCGTATGCAGATTTGTCTTCCTAGATCAACAAACGACGTACTATTCTGAGTACCATCCTAATTTTCTGGGCACGTAGTCTTCTTTTATGAGTGCACTTATCCCTAGTGGAAGGGCGACTTAAAGGGATGGATGAAACGTTCTCTGGCCTTGGAGACACCCTCCTTAGCCAACCAAGAAACTCGCTTCAAGTAGGACTGACGGTCTCCATTGGCTGTCCATCGCTCTTCTATTTAGCCAATTAAAGTGAACCCCTGTAGTCCGTGCCTTATGGTCTATTTATAAATGTAATTGTCTAATAAGACAATCAATGGCTGTCCCTGAGTGCAAAAAAACTTTGTAGAGCTATGACGTGGAAGGCTATCCAAAGGGAAAAACACTGGAGAATGTGAAAATTCCACAAGAAGCGAGGATTGTAGGCCATGGTTATGCAACGGAGTTCCATGGGATTTTATTGCAAAATTTCCCATCTTCTGATCAAACTCGAGGCGAGCCAGTCAATCCTGGCATTCAATGCAACAGCCACCAGATGAGAAGACCGACCATTTATGCGAATAACTATCTTATCACGATTCAGATAGGTCAAAATTGAGTTAAGCATTTCACCACATTCAATGAAATTCGATCAATGACCCACTCGTACCGTTTGCCTCGGTCAAGCGGGTTCGAACGGAAATCAAAACAAATCACCCACACAACGACAGTTTGTCGGTCAGTTGTTATCTAAGCGACGGTTAGAAAGGAACAGACTACCCAGAGCACCGTAGCTACGACACTTAGGCGTTTTAGCTACACAACGAAACTAGGAAAAGAAATTTAATCTTTTGCAGAGGGAGAAGACGACCTCGATTGCTACCATGCGGTTCAAAAACCAACACAACAGTGTTCAAAAGTGTTTGGGAAGAGAAAGAGAGCGGGTCCAAACGTGCGGAGAAAAGGACGCCAGTTGAGAGCGTAAGACTCGTGGTACACTGGAACGTGAATTGAACGGAACGGTGGATGAACAATGGCGAAAAAATTAGGGAATTCGATAAAAAATACGAACACTGGCTGATAATTTAATTGCTGAAACGGCCAGCAAAGGCGGAGCTGCGTGGGAAGTTTACAATGAGATCAACTTGGGTGAAAACTATGATAGAAAGGTATGACGTGAGTGAGAACCTTTGTATACATTGTGGCATTCTTGGCTTTGGTTGGTAACACTCCATTAGCCTCGTTCCGTTGCAAGCATTATTGAAGACAGCCGTCTTCGCTTTGGACTTGTCAAAAGGAAAAAGTCCTTACAAGGGAATACATTGTATATATCTTCCTAAAGCGTCTTCTTTCTTCTTCAAAGCCACTTCGGAGCTTCTTCAAGGTGTGCATCAATATAATCTTCCTGGAATATGCATGTGATTGAAGGCAACTCTGAGCTTTCGAACTTCATATTTACCCAAATTCCTCCACTGTCACGTGATCCATTCTCATCGACCAGCGCGAACGACTAAACTGGGAGGAATATCCGAAACATCCTACCAAAAATTTCACTCGAAACCCAAGAGACCGATGTTGCTCACCAGAGCACTGGGTCGGATATAGCAGCAGAATATGCCAGATGCTGATTCGTAGACGAGTGTTTAACGCGGGAGCCAGTCAGGAAACGCCTCGCACAGCTTGAAAAACTATCGGTGCAACCGACAACTTGATAGTTGAAACTCGCTTGATCCAAATGATCATTCGGTGACTGAACTTTGATCGTCTGACCGTCAGTTCGTAAGTGCTGACCAGATGCTTCATTGATGACAATTCTAGGTAAATACCACTCAGAAGACGCGTTGAACCTGACATCCAGCTGAGTCAGAGACAACAAGTTGCACGTATCCGTCATCTGAATGGATTCTGCCGAGAGGTCATTAGTTCGAGATCAATGAGTCTTTTGAATACATATTCATTGAATTTGGTGTGTTAAAGGTGCAGTCACGACTAACCACATGTGGCCAGTTAAGTTAAACAAGGAACTTTAGTGGTTAAGTGGCACATGCAAGAATACGTTCTGACAATGGTGAGTAGCTGCATCGTTTAAGTTTTCATGCACGGCAGCTTATGATAGCTATATACACATCTGGCGCTCTTCGCCTTTTGGAACGGGGTTTGCACGAACAGCCCTGTCCTCGGAGGCATATGCTACAATATATGGCATTCTACCTATGTCGACGGCATTCATGCTGTCCACTTCTAACCCGACTGTCTGGGTGAACGTTTGAAAACCTAAACAGTTCGGGTGTCTGTCGTAGGGCAGCATTGGACACCTTCACTTTTCCGTTATGCCTGATTCACTACATCACATGGCCGCAATGCAATTGGGCGTCAATGTTCTCATAGGGGTATTGCTCACAAAGATGATGACGGTATGCGAGCAGGCAACTAGGAGAAGAACAGGTTGCCCCGAGTTTCAAAGCCTAAGGCCCTTGTTCGGTGGTTTTATCCTATGAGGATAGGCCTCAAGAGCACTGTCACCCACAGGTTATAAGTAAGTACAGAATGCTTACCCGTTATACGCAAATGATGCAATTTCTAGGCGCATCGAAAATCCACACGAGTCTGATTAGCGCAGCTCAGTAACGAATGCTGAACAAATGTGTGTTGCAAATGGTAACTAAATTCTTTCGTCTGCGCACAACTTACCACCTGCAGGAGGAACAACCTGATCCAAAAGTTTGGGACTTGTACGTTTCCAAATCTTCTTGATCACAGTACGCAGTTCTTCATTCAACTGGTCAATCGGTGCACCTAAAATGAGCAGTAACATACAGTTGGAGAAAGGTGGGTATTGAAGGCCGAGTTCGTGAGTTCTATCGCTTATTTGGTTTTTGGCCAATGCAGCAATCCCCTATGAAAGGAAAATTCTTAAGGGGAGCGCATTCACGGTCGTGGGTCCAAAAACAGAACATGCAGAAAGAAAATGGATTATTTGGGTTACCCCAAGCAAAATCCACTTCATTGAGAAAATTCAGGCACGATTAGCAACTTTTCTCACCCTAGTGAATTAGTGTGCTAGTTAATCGAACAAAATTACACAGTTTTGAGCCTGCACCTTCCGACCCGCTGAAAGAGATCAACATAGATGACAACCCAGTGGGAATCTGCCTCTTACCAGCGTTGTGGGATTACTTGAGCCTTTTCAGGGATGGCGTAAATGATCCTATGGTCCTTGTTGGTACGTACAGTGTTTGTAGACACGCAAAAGCAGTTATCTGTGAGTAGCTACAATCACTCAGCGCGTTAAAGCACCATAATAGTGTGGCATATCCATATATAGATATCCGTTTTGTACATCACATCACAAAGGATACGGCAAAGGATGTAACCACGTAAACCGTCCCATGATACTGAGAAGAGTATAAACTAAACCGCCCCAAACTAGCATCTCTGGAGAGCGAAAATCTCTCAGAGAAGAATGTAACGTTTCAGCCTTAATTTTCTTGCCCAAAGAGAGAAAAAACACAAGGCAGCACACTGTCCACTCAGGAAAGTCTAAAGCACAAATAGGCATTCAAAACTTTTCACAGACAAACAGCGAATTTGAGATTACTGAGTGACCGCGCAGTAAACTCTTGTCACAGCGACAGCAGACCTAACCTAGATTGTAATCTCCTCTTAAGACAATTCCTATTTGACACTAGTTACGTCGACAAAAATGGCGTGTCATTTCTACCGAATAAGTAGCGTCTGCAGAGCGAGAAGGTGAAGAAGGCACTAAAAACGAATAGCCCACAGAACATACCGAACCAGCGTTTTGGCTTGTCTACCTTCCAGTGAGCGACAAACTGTTTGGACAAACGTCTTTCAAGTGAACTTTCCCAAAGGAAACTACCCATAAGGTTGGTAAACACTCTTCGGAAGCCCATGACCAGTTCCGCCCTTCTTGAGGAGGTCATCAGGTAGGCGAAGTTTAACCTTAAGTTCTAACTGAGATATGAGGTGGCGAGGTGCAGTACATTCAGCTGGAGAAGAACATCATGAAGGAGAGACTAAGCTGGATTCTTAGTGAATTTTCCGAGTAAGTCGAACCCGATTCGGTAGGTAGATGAGTGTATCCGTCGAATTTTGTGCAACTGGGGTTCAAGTAGAACGCAAGGTTGACGGGAACTCGGGAAGTGCGCCTAAGATAGGCCAAAACGGTCGTGGGCTGTCGAAGTTTTCAGCAACCGTATTAGTAGGGCACTCTGTCTATACAGCGTATTGCGATATCTCGAGTATCATACCATATGAAATATGAGGCGGCCCTCGTGCAGTGTATTTAGTTGAAGAACAGCATAAACAAGAGATTCCGCTAGAGTTCAGTTTAGTCCTGGCTGCGACCGAATTGGTGTGCAAATAGGTGTATTTCGCCTTCTCAGTGGCTTTTAAGTGAGGGGCTGCAACCGCTTGCATCAAAGTCGGCACACCAGACAACGGTGAGAGGAATGCTGGTTCGGTGTGGGTTGCGGTCGTCGCCCCTGCGACCAGTTTGGTGATTCTGATTGGCGGTGGGATCACATGGGATCACACTACAACTCCCAGCGTGCCTAACCGGTAAGGTGTGAACATGTGTGGGTGAGAAGGTCAACGACACACATGCACGTCAGTATGCCAATGTCGAACGGGTTGACTTTTGCGGCAAGGTGAATGGTGGGTGCGGAGGCGTGAAACCGGTGGACATCAATAAATATACGGGCGGAATAACGAAGTGGGTGGGGACGGGGGAGAGGGTAACCAATAGACAGCCGCCTGAAGCGGCTAATCGACTATTCAATGGAACGCAGCACCTGATTGATGATTGCCGAATCATATTAGACACGAAGACCGGAGGATTCGGACGAGAACAATGACGGTAGAGCACCGAGTAATCAGATGAAGGACAAAACAAAGGGTAAAATAATGGGTCGCAAAGGTCAGTGCACGTATGGTACCGCGGGAGTCGTCAACGTTACAGTGGGGAACTCCACACGAATGTCAAATAGTGGATATTCACGCTAGTTTTGTGCACCAACCAGACGTCGCGTTTGGTTGCCTGACACTGACCATGCACTTTTAACGAGAAGCTGTCGACACTTCGTGGCTAAAATCGTTGCTCATCGAAAAGCTCAACCATCCAATAAGAACACATTCCTGTCCAGTTCTGACAAGAAGGTCCCCCTAAAGTTGGGTGAAGTTAGCTATCTGTCAAGTGAGGACGCAGTAGAAAGGTCCACGTTTCCTTGTTTTCAGGCAGCCCGACGGGAATCTCGCATATTAGTTTGTGTCGCCAACATGATATAGTCTTTGCAAAAGACACTGTGGCAACCAACGAACTACATGCGTAAGATATTGTGTAAGCAATCCTAGCGAAGCCGGTGGCTTCGGAGTGGATCAGTGAGAATAAAACAGTAAGGAGCTGGAGCAAAGATTGAAATGATGACCCTTGCGTACATAAAGGGTACCGGACCAACAGCGGTAGTAATAGGTAATCATTAAACTGATGATATTAAAAAAGCATCGTTCGTCTTGCGTTAATAACCCTCACGCGCCAAACAGTCGAACGTATGGTTTCTGCGGTTGAGTCTTCAGCAGAGCAATGTAGTCTTCGCTATGTTTTTTCACACTTCACCATACTATTTAAGAGGACGATTCCAGCAACGTATATCGGGTTTCGAGCATCAAAACAGGTGGGCATCAAACAAGAAATATAAAGGTTTGCAAACGAAAGCTCCGAACCAAACTTCATGTGATATTGTACGAATGGTTAAGGTGCATTGAGGATTGGAAACTATTGAAATATATTTGGTGTCGGCGGTCAAAAGGATGTGAGTAGGTAATCTGATACCCGCACCCTTGATATGTCAGCTCGAGGTAGTTCAGTGGCTAAGGCCGTGGTTCGAACTCAGCCTCTGCATCCCGACCACTCCTGTTTGGGCCTGGGCAACCTGGCAGTACCTCGGCTCTTGTGCTCTCTTCGGGTGGCATGGTAGCTAGAAATTGAAATGGTATTAAAGCTGAATGAGTATTTTTATCATTATCACATTCTGATGTGTATGGGTCTGGGCGTCGAGTGTACTGAAGACGATCTAACAGCCAAACACATTTTGGAGGTCATCAGACTTTGGAAGTAGGCTACGCTCACGTAAAAGTGAGTCACACTAACCCAATATAGAAATGTGATTGCGTTTTCTCCTTGTCGACAATAAACACTTCACACTTCAGGCGGTTCTACAAAAGGGAAGGAGATATTACCTTCAGTTTTAATTTTCAGATTTGTACGAACCAGGGCGAACAGAGTGGCGTTGAACATAACGGTACCATCGCTGTTTAGTGGCATATTCATGCGCACTAGAGTCTGTAAAGAATAAAATAAGTAATTTCACGAAATATTCGTAGACAGCTGCAAAAAACCCAATTAGAGATAGATTTTTTATTGGATTCCAAACGTATAACTCCTATGTTATCACCGGTAGTGTAAAATAAGACAGGCAGAGAACCACACATCACAAGAAAGTATTACATTCGGCATGACAACTACCTAGCACCTCTATCAATCATCTGTTCTGGGTTCGTTAGTTGGAGTTGCTCACTATGGCAAGACCGATTGCAGTGGAGGCCGACTCTTAGAAGGGATCGACGTCGATCCGTCTCTTTTGTTGAGTCATCCAGTAGATCAATCTAGTCAATTCGTTTTCACGTTCACATAACTCTTGTTTGAACGGTCACCACCCGCCCTTGTGCAATTTTCCTGGTGAGTCTAGTGAGAAGCACTAGACCCAAGTTTCACTCTCATTAGAGCTCATCAGCAGTGCGTATCTTTGGACGTGCCGGGGTTTGAACTCCGGATACCTGACATGTGAGGCGAGCAGTTTACCACTACTATGACAGCGCACACGGTGGGCCTCTGAATTGTCAGGTCTCAATAGGTTGTGTCGGTCGGCTGAACCATCCGTCTAAAAATCACGCCAACATCTATGGCTAAGTAAAAAAATTTCCCACAGCTTTCAAGCGACCGAGGCACTACCTGACTCAAGCCCGGCTTACCAACTGACACAACCAGAACAGTCGCTGGGTCATCTCTTGAGTCGTTGAACAAACTGATCATAGTCCATTTGTGAAAACGATCACCTGTTCAGACGCAATAATTCAGCCGCGTCCGGTGTGCCTGTCGGAGGTACGGTATCACCAAGATTAGGCATTGCAGATGAGCTCTAATCAGAGCAATTCGAGTTCAGTGCTTTCTCAATTTAATGTGGACTCAGTGGAATAACTGTGCCAGGACAGGAAAAAGAATTCAAACGCGAGTGTTGTGGATGTGATTTCTACAAGTCTCGCAATCATCTATGACTAATTGAACATCGTTCTTACCTTGCTGACAGTTAAATATGCCTGTATTTGAACTTGCGCTTAACATAACTTAAGGAAGTTAATCAATAATATTAATGGGTGTACATCGGATGAAATTGAACTGTCGGGTTCTCCATAGAAGGCCCGGACTACACACACTCACACTGAGAAGCCTAATCTGAACAATCTGGATGGCATGCTCTTATGTGCCATTCAAGACGCGCATCTTAGCATAAAGGCACGAGACCGTTGGGCGGAGTCAAATAGGAATGTGACACAGGGTCGTGTCAGGTGCTTATGCTAATAGTATCTCTGTTACCCAGACATTCCCAGCGCTGTTGATATCGATTGGTGTTGTGTATCGTCAATTATGGTCAGCTAAATTTTTCTCACAGGCAAACCCAGTCAAGCTGTTCGCCACAAAGGATGGTGTGCTCAGATCATGCGACAAAGAGTTTAGGGCGCAGCAGCTTTGCCGACTAACCTTTGTTAAGGGCACAACTCACATGGCTGAATAGAGATTCCATCCTGCCAGTGAAGCCAATCTATGCAGAGAATTACTGTTCATGGTAAATATCCTCACATCACAATGAATCAATAAGCAGCTCAGCGGGCGAATAATCTCACAAGGTGAGTGGGACTTCCGTCTGAGAAGTCGTCACTCGAAGGACCAGTCAATACGCGGCCACATGAGGTGATTTCTACGACTGAAGGATGAGCGGTGATATGTCCTGAGTGCTAATCACACTGTTGATCATCCACTCATGGCCAAACAGTTAACTGTTCAACTATTGGTCGGAAAATCGCGCGGTTGACATTTTGATTTCCGTGAGGTGTGCCCTGTTGATGATCTCCAAACAACGGTTAAACGGCTCTGGGGCTTCCTGCCTTTTCAACGTACATTGGTTTCATTGACGGGGCGAAATCTTCAACGAATATTAACAAATCTCACATCACCATAAAACATAAGATTCGAATCGTCATAGATGGACATTTCCGATAAAAAAGAATAGTGAAAAATTCTCGTCGTATAGGACTTCCTCGCTTTCACGAAATTTTGTGTGGTCGACTAGGTAGTTTCAAGGTACATATGGTGTGAGAACAATAATAGGATGAATAACTGGTGATTTCTGTGTAAACATCCGGTATATCTCGTGTTTGCTCTCCCTAACCAATCAATAACGTTTCTTAGTCCAGCTTACTGCGGCAGAAAACAGTTAAACGCGGAAGGAAATCTCAGCCAACCAACTAGGCACACGGAACGATTAGCTGGGAAGGCACGACTTTCCAAAGTCACTAATCAAGAGGAAACTGCATACACACATTCGCTAGTTGACCAGGTGGTTGTTGATCTGTTCTATGAGCTTGCAATTGACTTGCAACATATTGAGGAGACTGGTCCCGATCACCGATCAATGAGCGCACGGCAGCCACCAATATTTCAATATAGACATGCACAAGCTTCACGGTACAGGGAAACCATTTGAGAAAATTGCATGGTTCAACAATTTTGAGCAGAACTCGCATACAAAGTGTAAAGGAATGGTCTGCGCAGGCGGTTGTGTGGGAGCGTTATGAGGATAGCGGTTATCGGCAAATCCGATTATACGATGAAAAAAGATCGAACACGTAAATCAGAAAACGTATTCCGTCGATGCTGTGCTAACCAAATCTGACCAATTGCGTGACTCGCTCTTCTTTGGTGCTCGAGTGATCAATAGAGCACTGCATTTTGGCTTATATAGTGATAGAAAAATCTGCCGACAATTGAAGCAGAGAACACTGAAAATTGAAGTCTGCGTTTAATACTTCAGTGGTTCATTGGTACGACTCACTGTGACTACAAGTACCGTTAAGGAGGAGTTGCTGGACGTTCATAATGCTGCATGTACAAAACCGTGTCACTTATTGAAGCCAAATTCAATGAATACTGATCAAATTTGAGGAATTAACAGCCAACATGACACTTAGATAAAACTAGAACGAATTTGTTGCAAAAAATGACAAAGGATCACCTGGTCATCTCGGCTTTAGGTAAACTGAACCTCTTTCAATGGGCAACAAATGTATAGATTGGTCCAGTTAGGGTACAGAATTAAGATGGGACAGGTCCCGTAGCAGCTACTCAGCCTCATGTGCACATAGGGGGAAAAGGCTTGTTGAATGATTTGAAAAAACCGTTTTCGACAAGTTGGTTGATGTTACATGTTGTTTGTCTGACGGCAAAAAGCCGTTCGTTGCACAAACTAGCTTGTGACACTCGGGAAAGCCGTTTTCAGATAACCAAGGGTAACAGTCTTGTGAAAGACTAGAGGTTTGGTAGAATTTAAGAGGTGAAGTCCAATAGACGTGGCATGAAAGGAAAGACAAATCTTGGGTTCGAATGGAACAGTACACCCCTAGCTTTGCGCAGACGTACTTTGCTGATTGAGCTACCACAGGTGCCCACTCTCCATCGCACGCAAACTCTACAGCTGATTAGCCACATCACTGCCTAGTGGATTATCACTTGATACCAGTCAGTGTCCGTAGCGATCTCCACGTGAGTCCACCAATAGGTCGGACGCTGAGATCGTTCACCGAGGGGTTTGGGTGTATATTTTCCGAAATTATTAGGAGTGAGCGACAGGTTGGTGGTTCTCCAGGGATGTATTTTTGTTCACTCTACGTGTACTTGGACTTTACCATTCAATATCTACAAAGCCGCCTTTACCTACAAATAAGGCGTCTTAAAGCAGTTCACATCAAAAAAGGGCTTTCATGAATGAAAGAAGCATCATAACGGGATAGATTGAATTAAGACATTTAGTGTGTCTGGTCAGCTATTTACGTAAACCCAGAATCAAAGTTAGGGTGGGATAACGAATGGATAGTTTGACAGACAAACACAGTGAAATCATCACAGTGAGCAAATAATAGATCTGGTTAGTTAGTAATACTAAAAGTATAGACACGTTTGAATGCAGGTCTTACCAAGGCAAGGCTAACGATAAATTCTAGCTGTTTGCACAAGTTAGATTTGTAGCGTCAGGTCACTGCCAGCTGACTGAAGCGTGATGAGTATCTGTCGTTCTGGCGGTTTACGATTTTAAACCCCTCTCTTGATTCTGTGCATGTATCACAATCCGTAAAGTGGTGAGCGATTGCGTTGGACGAAACTTTCAAGCTATTAAATGCTAACTTCCTTGAGAAACGTCAGGAATTCCCTGCCTCTCGATTCTTCTCACTTGCGTGTTACTATAAGTGCACTGAAAAAGTATACAAGGTAACCAAACAGTCTGGTTTGTTGATAATTGATCAGGTGGCTGTTGATCTGTTCGCCGAGCGTGGCAATTGATTTGCAAACACTTCGTCACCATTCGAAGAGATATTTTCAGTGCGCTGTCGGGTGGGTTTGTCTAGATTGGTTTCCGTTACCATGCACCGTATTTTGGTTGATTCCCTTGTGAGAGTTTGACTGAATCGCCTCCGCACTCCTGCATCATTCTGCTAACTATTAAACGGTAATGTGAAGAAAACTTTTTACGGCCATCATGTTTTTCCTCAGGTCCCCTAGTTTTTTTCCGTATTTTCTGGCGGATCTTCTGAGATACCTGTTATTCTACAATACATCTGATACGTTTTCAAGGTCTCTCATTATCAGAGAAGTTTCTCTGGTAGAAATAGCTTGTACCAAGGTTTGCGCATACTTTATTCGACAAAAGGTTCTAGAGTTAAGACATGTTCCTGTCAAGAAGGCCTGGTGGAATGCCGGTTTGATGGGTTACTCAACTTTGTTTCTTAACATCTGAACCTGTAAGAAGTGGAAACACCCTGTTTCTTCATTTGCAACCGTGCTCCTGTGTTTGTGTGCGGATGATTCAAACATTCCATCATTTTTTCTGCGTGCGAATTGTCGTCCAATACAGCGATCGTACCATCAGCACAGCAAGCATAGAATCACGTGATTCTCTATTCTTCAAACGGTCCATAAAGATATCAGCTACACATGGTACGAGAGGGCTTCCCACCCCCACGTCATCCAACTGTCAGTAGAGATTTTTGTTAACTCAGAACTGCACATCTTTATCGCGTAATAGAGATAAGAATAGGAGATGAGTGGGGATATTGAATTAAGTGGCGCGTGTGCGGACTATATCCATCGTCTTCAAAAGAGGAACTTTTGTAAAAAAGGAGCACGAATCATCAGAGACATTAAGACTTCGATTTCGATTTTGACTCAAAAGAATCCCTCAGTCCCTGTGAACAGTGTTCTTCTGATTGGCTCATTGAGTTTGGAAAGCCACTGAGCTAGGTGTTGAGGTGGCGCTCTAATCCTAGAAAGTAGAATACCGTGTTTGTGAAATTTGGGGAGCCCGTGACGTATACAAAGCCACATTTCATGGAGTGTGGATTGAACGAGTGTAATTTTACCCACCAAATCACACAAAACCACACCACAAAAGTTCCTGTCTACCTCAGCGTAAAGCGAACGGTGCAGGCCTCTGTGGGCTTAGTAGCAGTCCGGTTAGACTCATCTGAAGAGAACACTTATCAAAAGAGGAAACTTTAGGTTGAATCTTCGAAGAGTCTTTTGCATGGTGCAGGGCACTTTTAGTGGAATATACAGCCTCTAAGTGATACATGCAGTGATCTCCCATCTTGTATCATAGGAACATCTGAAGAATAAGGCTGAATCGGTGGCGTCTTTCAGGAAAAGGGTAGGTAATTTTCTGCTGCGTGTCAAGACATCATCCACATCCTGCCACCAGGTTGTCAGTTCCAACGCACTACCATTCATTGACTCAACTAGCTTTTTGAAAGACATCAAAACACTGGTTTCACGTGCAAATACGCAAGCCATGCCAATTCACAGCGATATTGCAGCGGAACTTTTCGGCATAACGTTGATCTCCATTCCGAGTCTTCTTATGCAAATATGGATAACGGTTTGGTCCGATTTTTTCAAGGATTCCATGCACTCAAAAAATGGACCACAGAGTAAATAGGAAGCTTTATGAAGCGGGAAAAGCTACGTAGAAACTTACCACGCAGGCAGTGCGGTGTGGACAGAGTTTACCAAACCCAAGAGGCGGGTTTATCTTACGCAACAGAGTAACGACATCCAGATGTTTGATGCGTCCTCTGAGAGTGGAAAAGAAAACAAGTTGGATGATAAGTAGTTTTGTAAGCGATATCATGTTACGCAAAATTGAGAATAATACCAAACAATGATGAATTAGAAATTTCCACAATCTGTCGGCAGAATGACATCACACTTTTATAAGAAATGACAGCGTTCCACTATCTTGGTGCAAAACTGAACTTAGATACCTGGATTAGATACTATCTTGTCGCTACTTAGCCTAGTAGGCTCACAATACGATTCATCGATTAGGCCAACCTGCGTTCACGAAGCACTATTTATCTAGGCTGTCTCTTCCAACAGTCGCTGACGTAACTTCCAAGTGCGAAATTGTTTGCACTTTCAAACTGGATGATTTAGGTGCATCCGCTTCTGTAGTAGTAGTCAACCACAGTTAGGATCCAAAATCCTAAAGTGGTCCTGACCACATGTCTTAACGTGTTCCTATAACAGAAAAAGTGAAAGTGGCACTTTTTCCAAGGTAAAATATCCCAGTTCCGTTTAGAGCGTGTCTCGGTGGGAGAACAAAGAAGGCTCCTAGGAGAAGAAAGATCACCCGAGAAATACCCCACCGATTTATCTTCTTGGCAGGACACCTTGAAGTTGCAGCGGTCACTCCCTTGTTCTTTTAACCAGTTTCGATTAACTTATTTTGTACAACCACACTCGCTATATCACACGTCACAAACGCCCAAATCATGTGACAAAATCCTGTCCCACTTGCAATTTCCCATCCATTTTGTTTACGTGGTTACCATCTGCATCACGCGGCAGGCTTACGACCTTCAATCACATCAGGTCAAGTTGTACTCAAGTGTGTGTAACTGTCAAAAAAGAATGGACACCCCTCTCTTCACGCTGCACACAACAAACAGGCATGCAACTCGACCAAGGGCGCGGGCGCGCGCACAGGGGAAGAAGTCGACCAAACTCCACAGGTCCATTACAACCACGGAACAACTGTACTGCACCGCGTCCAGACTTTCACTCAGGAGCCCTCACCAGTCGTCCTCAGATGATAAGTCACTGTTTGACTTATTCCATATGTTCCATTACATTTGTCGAAATATGGGTAGCTCGGGTGTGTGTACTGGTGGTTGATCAGGTGGCAGTTGATCTGTTAGCCGAGCATGGCAATTGGCTTGCAAACGTTTCGTCCCCAGTCGGGGGGACATCGTCAGTGCGCAGTTGAATAATGCAACAGAATGTATATACCAACTAGCCAACCACGTGACAGGATATTAGATACTCTTCAAAAACTACATAAACGTAGCTAGGCACGGAGGAAGCATTCATTCAACTGCGCACTGACGACGTCTCCTAGACTAAGGACGAAACGTTTGCAAGCCAATTGCCAAGCTCGGTGAACAGATCAACTGCCATCTGATCAACCACCAGTTGCATTGCATTCATTTTTATCAAGGTGTAATCATAATCAATCTTGTAAACATATTTTGCTAGTGCTTTGATTGATTTCAGTACAAGCATACCACTGACGAAGTACACATCAGCACAGCTTACGAAGTTAGAGACTTTAGAACAAAGTAGAGCATGTTCATAAAACGCTTTGATCTATATCTCCAAAACAGATTACTGTTCGATTTCGTATCATGCTGCCTAGCTGTCGTTATATACGGGAGGATGTATCGTGGCATGACACCAAACAGATATGAGGTAAATTTTTTAAAAAAATGTAAGCCTGCGCTGCTGACCAAGGGGAACACATTCATTTGTCTCCAAAGCAACGGGAAGAGCTGAGTTCGGATATCTTGATATATCGTCTAGCTCCACCGGCAACTGAACCGATTGAGCTAAGCTTCATTGAATAAAAATCTACACAGAGTAAAAGGGCAATTATGCCTGACGATGCGTTATACTCACAAGGTTGGGCTTAATCAAGTGAGCACAGTGTTCGGAGTCTCCGTCAAGGTCATGTTCTACTTGAACAACAAATTGGATGCAGTCGGTGGAATACATTCACTTGCACACTAAGTTGGGTTAGACGGGAGACTCAACTGAATCCCAGCTGAATCTGTTGTGCATGCTGCTCTTCAACTCGATGTGCTAAGCAAAGGTTAAGTCGTGCTTCATTGTGTACGATATTAGCGATATTGCAGTGAACTTGAACGACGGAATTCGCCTACCCGATGAGCTCTAAGCGCGGCGAACCCGGTTACGGACTGTCGGGGAGTTTTAAGCAACCATACGAGTGAGTTGTTGAGCCAGGAAAATCTTAAGCTGTTGTGTTGGTATTCTATTGGTCTTTTCGCCATTTATTAGGACGACATTCCTAGTGCAGTAGAAATAACTCGGCCTTTTTGAAATCACACCTGGATCGGTCCGTTCATTTCAGAAAGAAGACTGAGGGTAAAGTTTACATCTACACTCGAGACGAAATTATTGTCCTGATAACAAAACTAAACAAACAATTCACGTTTAGCCTACCCATATTGTACTTTGCGAAAAAAAAACATTTGTTTTGAGCGTTCGATCGGTGTGAATGAGGAACAAAGTCCAAAGCTTCGTTTGTCTTAATAGTAGTGCAATTGTCTACACTTCACGATCAGAAACGGCGAAATAAGCAACCATCACAACTGACTGATCAGGTGATTCTGCATTGTGACCTCCACCCTAAGTACGTGATTTTGACAACTCAGCAGCAACAATGATGACGGATGAACAGCTGAACTGTCATAACCTCTGCACGCAGCATAAAGCTTGAAATAAAGAGTATAAACGGCTGGGTGCTGTTACCTATGGACCACCGTCTGCATCGACAGCGTGGTGATGGGAATGACAGTCACGCAGACGATTGCGTCACCAATTTATAAATTTAGAACCTATGAGGCTATATGACTCATTTAGCAGAACAGTAGAGCAGAATGAGTGGGATAGTCTTGGTTGGATTAACTTGTTCGACACCACGAACACCCAGCGAATTTACACTCGATGGTAGTCATTTGCCCTCTTTCAAATCAGTGTTTAAGACCGCTGTTCGTTTCAACCTTGCCGCATTGGGGTGGAAAATCTTCGAAATCAAACGCCAGCGACCATATCTACAGATCCAAAAAACATCAGTTAGAGTAATTGATCTATTCCAGATTGGATGATCATTGTCATGTGCGTCGTTCCACCACAGTGATTGAATGAGCTCACTGTTATCTCCCTTGTGACTCGCGTAGCTCCACGCGGCTGAGAAGCATTTAAGCAATGTGTACGTCGGAACGGGAATTCATTCGCTTTGTTCCGACAGTCTTTACGGTGTTCCAAATCGAACACGAACAATTGCTAACGATCTAGAAATCTGTTGCCTCCTTGCACGAAGTACCATTGTCCTCAGAATAGCCCCTAATTGCACAACCAAGCTTAACCACCTGTATAAATGCCCCTATGGACCACTCTTGTTAGGACGCCTTCCACAACAAGATAATAAAGATTTTCACATCATTCGCGGTAAGGTTTTCCTATATGCCCATTGTGAATTCCCGGTAGACAAAAAGAGTGGACATTGGAGAGAAATCAAAGGAGTATTGTAGAGTCTTCATGCTTGTGGACCGGAACTGCTCCCAACAAGAGTTGCTGGGACGGGTTTCGAAGGCGAGGCTACCGGTTGTGACTAACTTGCACATGAAGATGATACAACGGGTAGTAACTGGGCTGATATCATGTGACCTCATATCCGCTGGCGCTCCAAGCAACGACGTCTGGGATGAACATCTGAACACTTCGTATGTAGCAAGTCGTTCGTAGAGGGGGTAGGAATTTTAGGCTTATGCCCAAATATACAAATCAACCTATGGATCAACGTATGACGTAGCTCCACGATCTGTTGAACACCATCCGGATTTAGATAAGACAGCATGTAAACCCGTGTCCGGAAGATTAATTGTTCGAATCCGTCGTTTCCGAACTGTTTGCAAGATAGGCGGTTGGTCCGAGAAACCTCCGTTAACATTCCGTCACCAATCCAGTGCTTATCGGTGTTTACCCCTCTTGCGTTTGCATTGTACAGGTGGGTAAGGATGGTTCTGGTTTTAAAGCTGCTGTTTTTTTCAAAGGTTACTGTTACTTTGTGCGCTGATTTAATTGTTGTTGATCGGTTAGTTAGGCACCGTCGTCTTCGGCAGTTTGCGAGCTTTTTTGTTTGGTTCTTTTACCATCTCTGATGGCCTGCTTTAGATGCAGAGTAGTGTTTGGAAGAACGTAATTACATGCGATACCGAAATTCAAGGCTTAAATGGAACCACTGACCTTCTGTTTATCGAAGTGTTTGAATGATGTCAACATCTGTATACTTTGCAAATCATCACTAGTCCTCAGCTGAAGTAAAAGGACAAAGATGTGACACAAGGCCGCGTCCTAGATAACTTGACTGGTACGGTACTCGTTTGGAGAGCGGGAGACTTGTGATTCCAGCCACCTCGAGGACTCCTCATTCCAAACTTACATTATATTCTGTTGTGAAAAAAATTGGAGCTCTGCGTCCGCCCAGATACTCGCCCCATATGATTAACTGACGTGAAGACTCCACACAGGTACGAAGCATACTGAAGGGTAGATTCCTATCTTCTTCCTTGAAGCAGTAAATGTCCACGTGTTCGAACAGTGAGTCGTGAAATATTTCAAAATCTGTTGATTTCGGTCTCCTTTGGAGAAGGTTCGTCTTAGAGTTACTTACGGTAGATATACAGATAGTTATCTGACCTCCTCGGTGCTACCAACTGACACAATCAAAACAAACGCTAGGATGGTATTCACGGCAGTGTGAAAACCAACCGCACTGCTCTCCTTCGCTTGGACACACGTGATCATCTTAGTTCCTCCAGCATACGTTGCTTGCACGAAAGCATCGCATTTCAAATATACAGTATACGCATGGCCGGCATGATCGAGCAAATGTATTGCTAATGAGAAACGATGGGAGCAGAACTAGGGTACAGTGCTTTCGTGTGAATTAAATGTTATCATCTCGTCAGGACAGAAGCAGAAAAATAAATTCAACGCACCTCACAATTGTTTTTCATTGCTCTGAATCGATGTCATCCTTAAAAAATGGGCTTTGGTAATTGGAGAACAGCATAGCTTGGCTGCTAGATGTCTTCAGGCTCAGAAGGCCATATTCCTTGTAAATAGGGCCACAGTCAAAGAGAGCGAATCCAGTTATGCCAGTTATTCACCCGTGCATATTTTTTACGTACGTTTGACAGTTCTGAGTACAGTTTGTGTTGACACAGACACTGCTATGTCACGTGACAAAATGCGTTCGAGTAGACAGTTCATGCACAGAAAACTCACTTCGCTTCGGGATCGTATTCCGACCAGAGACGAACAAACTCATCCAGGTGGTGAGGGCCCAGTATTGACCAGTCCCTTGTGAGGTAGTCAAAATTATCCATGATGACAGCAACGAACAAGTTGATAATCTGATATGAGGTGTGGAAGAGAGATGAAAAAGGGATAACCAAAGTGAAAACTTCTCAAGGTCAATGCTTTCCGGGTACGGAAAACAAGTGTTGCAATTTGTGCGTAGAATTTGATTATCGCCAATACGGGTGGACAGTTTATTCCATCTTGCGTATGAGAATCACCTGGGGGTGAATTGTCAAGATGTCAACATTCTAAAGAGGGACTTTAGACTTTACCTCAGGAAACCGGCATCTTGATATACGCTGATGCGTGCCAGGGGCTGAGAAGAATAGCAACTCACGCTTGTAGAATTTGTCAACGAGCATCGTAACGGTATGCGTTTGGGATTCTAGCGGCTAGAAAGCCTCCCTTCGGCTCTTCAGCGAACGGCTAAAACATGATTGATTAGCGAGGGCTAACAGACTTTGATAAGAGTAAACTGTGATTCTCCATCAGGGAACAGCCAAAATCACTCTTTCGTCTGAATGATTCTTCTTATGAGAATGTATTAATTTTCTTACACATGGACACTCATATAAAACTGAAAGTTGTTTTTTTCATTATTGCACACAGCATTGCCCCTTCTGAATTTTAAATCTTGTCTCGAAAGAAATACACTGTGAGCATTCAAGCCAACTAAATGTTATTTATCATTACACAATGGCGCAATTCGCAATCGGCCGGTTCACACGTGCTCGATAGCATTTTTAAGCTGCTCCAGGCCTCACCCGGCTTCACAGCTGTCTTCTTAAACAACACAGAATGATATGTAGTAATATGGTAAATTAATGACAGCTCACATGAAAGTGGAAACTCGCCCAAGGATTTTTGGCCACCATAGCCACATTGCCTACTGTTAGTTAGAAAATGCACGGATACGTAGTGCGAAAGTAGCTCATCTCTAATCATTTGAATGGGGCCTGGTAACAGTTGCCAGTGCACGTGTGGGCAAACAGAGTTCACCGAATCGGGAAGACTGTTCGAGACGGGGAGTATTTCGTTTCCGTAAGATGTCTCTAAGCCAGCCCAGGCGGTACAGGTGATGGCAACAATAGAGTACATCAACTGTGAATTTCTACATTGTTTGTTGACCAATAAAACTAGAGATGGATGTCCCCTATACGTTGCAGTTACGTAATTGTGAAGGAAAACAAACGCCTTAGTTTGTCAGCCACTTGGTGTACAGAGATTCAATTGATCAAGCACTATACCGCGCAGGGTCTCTCCCTTTTTTCATCGAGTCCAGCTGCTAGGATGGGTTCCACAGGGTCAGCGATTCTGTGCTTCAGGCTATGTAACCAATAGTTGTGCGATCATAATGAAAACCGGAGAATAATGGCGAATATGGCTAGTGAACATTCGTATGAGCCTACCCTCGAAGAACTTGCAAGAAGGGTTAGCAATGTGCTGTTCTTCAAAGAGTTTTCTGCTGTTCTCAAATAGCCACAGTAAAGTGTAAGTTCATTTGATGAAATAACTTTGGTGCGATGAGCACACATTTACACATGTGATTGACACCCACTGCTTGCAGGGGTGAGAAACACCGTGGAATTAGCTTCTCACATAAAACCACCCGTTGCGTTATCCTAAGACCATCGATCGCCACACATACCCACACAGGTATTCAACTTGGTTTAACCTTGACTGGTCCCTGTACTTTTTCATACTGCTAGATGAGCTATGTTTTGTTCATTCTTGTGACGGCACACAGAAAGAGGTCAGAGTGTGAGATTCCAGACATAAGGCTATTTTTACCGGCTTCTTACTTCTCAGTCCGAGTTATTCTATGAGACGCGATATAACTCCTTTGAGTGGTGATGGAAAAATGTAGGCTGGTGGTGAAACAAAGGTGGATACCAGAGATGGTGGAGGAACAGTGCACTTAAGCCTACTACTGTGGACGTTTGTAGTTAGTCAATACGTTTCTTCCGTTTGCCAACATCCTGTTCCGAGTTATTATACCAGAATCAGTCAGGTAGCCGTCGACACACTATCGTGGACCGCCGTCCAGCGCAACTGATCTATGGTTTGTGGTTTTTAATATCACGTTTAAAAACTAGCACAACCCCAAACCAGTCCGTTGATAACAACTTTAGGGGTCTAACCAGCGGCACAATATTAAAACGGGTTTACTAGATTTGAACAGCCATTCTGTCATTGTATTGGTCATCAGTCAATGAGTGTAGCCTCGTTATAAACAAGCCACGGATTTCGAATCTGACTGGATGTGTGAGATAAAGCTGTGACCGGACTCTGAGGAGCGTAGCCAGATAAATCATCTCTTCCCTGTTAGGACGAGGTACGACGGCATAAAACGGTGAAACTAAGTGCGTCCGCCCGGAATTGAGTACTATCTAAGTTGAAAATGACAACTTAAGCTGAACGTGCTGTGGAAGCTATTTGTAGAGGGATATTAGTAGGACCGGCCCTTTCTCCCGCGGAAAACAGACCGCCTTTTTGGCCAAGTCACGAGAATTTGTAATATATGTTGTGAACTTACCAACAGATAGTTTCAGAATTTATCGGGGATATTAGTCGAGTTATTACCAAAGTTATTTTATGAAAATCTGCTGCATATTGTCCCAAAAGAAAGTGCTTCTTTCCTAGTGCCCATTTTCACTTTGTATGTGCTCCGCTGTACTTCACCTTTGTTTGAGACAGTGGAAGCTCTCAGTCGAAGGTCCGGTCCTCTTCTGCCTGTGCCAGGAGTGGTTGGGCTTTATGCATCTTCCCCAAGTCGCGTACGGTCGCTGATCGTACCCGTTCAGATACGTAACAGAATTCCCCATAGGGTTAGTCAGATCACATGGTGGTGAAACTGTACTACTTATTGATTGTATTTTAGTAACACTTGCCTTCCGAATGTTTAGTATCGTGTAAAGTTGTCGCTGGGTCGCACGTGTAGGATACCGCTGACAGCATTTGCGTTGTTCCAATAGACTATCAGAGATCTTATACATTTGCGCTCAACACGCGTGGTTTCCGTTGGAGTTAGACCAAGTTTTCCGTAGTTTCACCATCAACGCGATGCATGCAAATATTCTAGAGGACACTTGGGACTTTGTCAGATTGCTTCCAAATATAGCTCTGCAAAAGCCGACGTAACCCTCAATAACTTACAAGAGCCTTTCATCGATAGTCAGCACCAATGTAGGCCGTTAGGTAGAAGTGGTCTTTGCGTTGTCTTCCACATTTGACCAACAACTTGACTGACCGGTTGGTGTGACGAAGCTGTCGTGTGGAAATCAAAACGCTCCTGGGCAATATGTACCCATATGTACCCAACTCTTTAGAAGCAGTGATTTCCCAATAGATTCTATTTCTCTCTCATTCTCAACTTAAGGATTTTCATCCGAACCTGAAAGCACTTTGACAGTATTGAATAACCAGTCGACGATATTATCTAAGCTGTCACGATTCCGTCTCAAGAAGAGCATATGGACTTGAGTACGCAAAAAGACAAGGTATTCTATGATTGCCTTCCTTATTTGACATTATGTACCAACATGATAAGAAACAACTGAGCAAAACAGGACCCGTATGGCACATATGAAGCAACAACCACTTACCAAAAACGAGCAGACCATATAGAATGAGATGAAAAAAGGATAAGCAAAGTTCGATCCACAGTTGGCCGTCGGCCCGAAGTAACCCAACTCCTCGAGTTTTGCTTTCGGTAGAGGGAACTGCCAGTCCAGTGGATTCGAAGATTCCCCATAGGGGTCGGGTGTGACATCTGACAGTCCGGCTGGATCAGCTGACGGCACCTCCATATCGTCCTCGTATTCATCATATTGAACCTGCTTACGAAGTCGTTCAAGTCGAGGTGGAGTTAGGCTTGGATCGAATGGTTGCGCATTGGGGGGTTTAAACGCCGGGAATGAATGGGTCCATTGATCGGGATAGGGAAGGGAGGAAGTGGGTAGTGTATGTGGTTGCACGTGATTTTCGAATGTCCCGTAAAACTTTGTCTGGTTTACTCTATGTACAGAATCACCGTTGGGCGAAGTAGAATATGCTGTCCAATTCATATTATCTGAAAATAGTGGAGTGGTCGTGTTCTGTTCAAGTAGCAAAGTTCGATTATCTGGTAAGGTGAGGTTCGAATCAAAAATTCCAATCTGTTCCAAATAGGCTCGAACGGCTTTCATTTCGGAATCGGAATGTGGATCACATTTGACGGCGGGTTCTATGACGTGAAGTAGATAAAATGGAAAGTTGAATAAAACGACTGTTTTAGTTGGTATAACAAGATGTTATCTACAGTCACAGGGTTGCTATCGTCTTATGGGTGAACAGCATCAATCCAGACGTGTTGGAAGACATAAATGTCCCAACTGAGTAGGAGAGAATTATATTGCTGCCACAACCCGTGGCTAAACAACTAGCCGGAAGGTCGCGGGTTCGTTACTCCGTGCGGTTTCGTGAGTTACTCAACACAGCTGATGATTACTAAGAAGCATGAACCAATCTGTACGGTGCTACTCTGCTTTTCAGGATAGATTGGCCTCACCGACCGCATGAAATCTCTACTGAAAATTACCAACTCTCCTCAAATCAGCATCAGTAAATTAAACAATTGACAGTAAATCGAAAACAAAAGTAGGGCTAACAAGTGTGTATGCTTTGTGACGACTTTCTCCTTGTTGGATTTATTGGGCAACTGAGGTAACAACGTCATGACTTGTAATCGTCACAAGAAAACTAGGACATTGGGCACGTCAAGCAACTCACTCAATATCCAGGAATGTAGTGTCAGTAAGCATACCTACCATCTTGGAATTGATGACCACCAGAGAGCAATGTCTCCTTGATTGAAGGACAGTATTCCTAAGCGACATCAAACGCTCATGGTCGTAGCTCTAAGTAAACTAGGTGACTGAAAAGATACCATACAGTTAGTGCATTTTAACGTCTGCAAACCAAAACAGATGTCTAGCCTGTTACACCCGATGCAGCGCTCTTATACACTCGTGGGAAGCTCGGCTTGCCAGAGCGCAGTCCAGAGCAGAAAAAATTGGTAGGTAGATTATAAACGAGATTGTTTGAATCAACAGATCGCACTGTATTTTCTGAACCAACTTAAAAACAAGCCTAAACTATGTTACGTCTAGAAAGCCTCTCTTCCTGAGCTACGAAGACCAACTGAAAGACCAACATTGTGAATTCACTGTTGTTTGTTCCTCTTCTCGTTGAGAAAGCTGTCTATCCACGATTTGTTTTGTACAATCTTCCTCCGAACAAGCAAGACGTATGCAAATCAACAAGGTGTGCGACACTGCTGCACTCACCGTTCACACAACTGAGCATAATCTCTTGCCATGCCTCGCCTGTTGCCGATCGAAAAAGGACAAGCAGAGACTGAGGGAAGGTTTGGAAGTGATTATTCCGATTTATCGCACTGTCCACGTTGGTCAAAGCGATCTTTCCAAACATTTGCATTCCAATGACCGCATAGATGAAGAATAACATGGTGATCAGAAGAGCTACATACGGAAGAGCCTGGAATTGTAAAAATCGATGGTGTTGGGATAGAACGGTTCATTTGGTTTATTGGGCATTGCTCAAAGTTGAGAAGGGCATTAGGTTTGATATGTTGAACTGTTTTGTACCAGTAGCCATCTAGCAACAAGTAGGTCAATACGGTTGATAGGTTACCTATAAGATAGATCGCAGTAACTGACGAAACCTCGTTGAAACATTTGGAAAATAGTTAAACAGCCAGCCATAGATATTACGTGCATATTGGTCGATCTGAAGTTTAAAGAGACATTTAAATATATTACTCTCTACACTCTAAGGATAATAAAATGTCCCTTCGACAGAAGTACTTCCTATAGGGAGAGGCAATCGGTTTGCATCAGGCGATTACAGCATACGTTTGGCACGGACCTGGATGTATTCTACGTTTTCAACACCTTTTGTGAGAGTGCGATGAGGCTTTATTCCGCCTGAGTGTATTCCTTAAAATTTTTAACTAGGGTTTCCTCCGGTACATGTCACAGTCGCAGCGACGAAGCTAGGAAGGGGCAACGGACAATCAACTAGAATATGAGTCCTATTTATCAGTAGTTGAACTGTAGCCGTCATGCGCAAATCACTTAGACGCTTATTATTTTTCTACCATTTAAGACACTGTCCATGTCTTCCTTTTCTGTGAGGAATCTGGCAATAGTAGTTTTTCGGAGTGCGTAAAGCGCACGGCGGTAATTTAGACCCATTTATTAGTACTACAAGACTTATTTTCTTGTCGAAATGCGCCTAGTTGCAAGTGGACGTTTTACTATGTGGAGCCACGGCCGGGTGCGTAACACCGGTTTGTTGAATAGACCTGATTTCAAACACTAGTCGCCCAGTTATGATTGCACCGGGCCCTATGGAAGAACCAGTCGACAGCAGCGGATCAGGCCTGTGGTTTGTTGAGACTATTGTCTGATGGTGAATACTGTTCACATGGTTCCCGTTTTTCCGGAATGACTTATCCAGATCTAGCAGCTGTCAGTTGCAATTTGCTAGGCTACTGTGTGAATATCCAAACCCAGAGCTAATGTAAACCATTGCTCATCCGTATATTTCCTGGGTTATTTCGTTGAACAATACACTAAAGTGAAGGTAATTTCTGAAGGTACATGTACACTTGTGCAGCAGGATAATTACTGTTTAAATCCTCTTTTCAGAATCCTAAGAACGAACCCCAGCACATCCACCAGATAATCTCTCTCCGTGCATAGCTTGGGTGGAAACGGATAAAGTAAACAGCTAAATATGGTTTCAATGTTTTAGTGAATAGCGCAATGTCACTCAGGTAATACACGGTGGCGAAGCTTCATTTGGGTAAAAAGACAACAATTTCTACGTTTCTGGTTGCCTCAGATTAGATTTATTTACCTTGCTCAGAAGCTTTGGTTGCCTCTTCTCACTGACCGGTCCATTTTTGTGTGGTTCTACATAAAATCCAGTTAATTCAATGCGACTGTCCACAAATACACTATCTAGATTCTAAGGTCTTTCCGTGGCTAGAAACTGCTAGCTTCAGTTTGTTGAATTGCATGGTGCTTGCGTTTTGAGAAGGCTGCACACCTGGGCTTCACTCATGCCAAAGCTGTCGGTTTTAGTCAGTTTTCTTTATTTTCTGTTTTGACGCAATCGATATTGGAAGCGTTATTGGAAGAAATGTTTGTTGGTCCCTTCGCGTCATGGTGATTAATGGAGCGGTATTCAAATTAACAGTAGAAACTCAATCTATTGTGCAAAGGATCAGCTAAGAAGCTCACAAGTAGTCTCGTTATATGTGAGTTCGAACAGATGTACGACTATCGTTCTCCTTACTTCAATGTATGTTGAAATCATACGACTGTATGAAGCCTGGGTAGATTGGACGAATTCACAAACTTGACTGACGCAGATCACCCAACAGAACACAACAACAAGTATCTGAATCTATAGAATCGATGACACTGACTGGCGCGCACGCCCCCACAAGTGTGTAGTTGATAAAACCAAACGCATGTTCGTCGAGCGACGAAAGGACTCATTTTTGGAAGTTAACGCATGCGTGGCGAGTACCTATTCACCAATCCCAGCAGGCTGAACTCTTCTAGAGCGGCTTTGCTCGGAAAACATCCAGTGTTTCATGATGCAAATAATTTGGTATCGGAAAACTTTCGATTTCCCCACAAAAGCACGAGCTCTTCGAGGCACTTAATAGGAGGTAGCAAAGTACTAGAAATAAGTATTTTGAACCCATTCTATTGAGTAACTTTTAAGAGGGATCTCAGCGAAGAGGGTAGAGTGGGCACCTCTTTGGTACTGGCCACCCTTTGGGGAAAATATTTCAGATGATAAGCAACTAGTAAGAAGCGGAAAACAACACGCGTTTTTGCTAACTTTTCATGAAAGCGGCTTGTGGTAATGTGTCAGATAACGGCAAGTTCTGAATACGACATACATTTGTCAGTGTATGAAGGAAATCAGCTTCCACTTTTGATTATTCACCCGAAAAAAATGAGCTTATTTGCACGTCTCACGAACAGTCATGGTTCGTGTGACCTTAGACCATTAACCGCGGATTCCAGCCGATCATATATGTCAGTTTGGCAGCTCATCAGTTGTCGATTCTTTCTAATTATTAGTTTGTATTGATCTATAGCATGCATGGCTTGTACCAAATGCGTTATGAACTACTTTCCCGGGGTTCAAGCAGAACACAAGGTTGACGAAAACTCGGGGACTGCGCCTACATGATGAGCTTCAAGACGGGCGAAACTGGTCGTGGGCTGTCAAAGAATTTTCAGCAACTTATGAGTAGTGCGTTACGTCTATACTTTCCCTGCTGTTTTTTCAGCGATAAAGAGCAATTCTGTGCATGCCCGTTTGTCGGCTTCTTACCCTTGCACTTGAACCGATTACTTGATATGTGAGACACTTTGTATCAAGTATTTGGTTGTTTACTACCGTATTACGATACCAGCATCTTCCTGTTTGGCAAGACAGGACTTGAAGATGAGCCCTCAGCCGAACAGTAACAAAGAATTATTCGAGGCCAGGGGGTATTATTGAATGTGTACGGTTCAGTGGAAGTAAAGATGTCGAAGCTGAAATCTCAAGGACGGAAGGAACGTGTTCTTAGGGTGTCGCGCTGAATAAACTACGAGCTACAGCTGTCATTCTAGGTGGTCGATTCTTCTGTCCAGCTTATCCGACTGTCTGGGGGAAAGGGGGAAATGTGCTGGAGTCACATCGTTCTGAATCGATTTTGAACAAAATACCTACTGCTAATACTCATCACACTAACACAAAAATATCCCACTTACCTGGAACGATTTGACAAACGTCCATAGTAGAGTGCGGATGCCTTCTCCTTTGTTCAATAATTTAACAAGCCGCATTACGCGAAAAAGTCGGAAGAAATTGATGCTGATGAACTTCGATTTTTCCTGTACCAAGGGGAGAAGTGTATGGATGGAATAAAGACTGAGCAAGCAACATACATTTAAAACGGATTAAAGTCAGCGATGATACAAGTTTGTTAGGTCCGATCCCCGGTTTTCTGTGCTTTGTAGAGACAAACAGTCCGACACTCTGTACAGATAGCTGGAAAATAGCAAACTTTAAACTGATAAACTAATGATGGTGATAGGAGATTTGTTAGTATTCAACAGAGATTTCGTCCTGTCAGTCAAGCCAATCTATGCTGAAAAGGCTTGAAGCATTGAACAGCTGTTTTATCCTTGTTGGGAAACATCAGTAGTGCGCACATCGCGAAGCTCAGATAGTTTCTACCCCGCGAACTTATGAATGCACATTGCCACGAGCAGTTGATTAACTCTCACAAGTTAACTATTCATTGTAGTCTCCAATTCAATACAAACAGAACCTAATGACATATACTTCACCGAAAAATTAGCATTGTACAACAGAATCACGATCAGCGCAAAATTCACTGAGAACACATCAGGCGGAATCCAAAACTTAATCAGTCTGGCGAGAGAGTTGTAAAAGACCGGCGACAAAACCCATTTTTTTGTTTCTGTGATTCTTCTAGGATTCTAAGTTGGCATAATTTAATCTCCGAGTGATCGCCCTAACCAAGTCACGTCGTGTGGCGCGCACAGTTTGAAAGGCCACCAAGAAAGGTTTCTAGGCTAGAAACTTTAATAACCCAAGGCACTCCGAGAAGACATATTGGAAGTTGATACCATAAACGCACATGGCTTCCGCTGAGGGATATGCAAACTTTGCGTGGTGAGTGGAACGGCGAGGTCAACGGTAGTTAGTGAATCGCACTCCAAAGAACTACGTTGTGAATGAGCGCCGTTATCTTCTGACAAATTATTGTTTTCCATGGTTTTTGAAGTGCGATTCGGCTAACAGTAGCCCGACAAGTTGTCATAAATTTCTGAGGTAACGGGGACAGCTTTTGAGACCTACTTCCAAGACTTGGGGGACAAGGTACTTCGGCTTAGCCTTATGTCTCTGTCTCATCTTTTGCTGTTCCCGATCCAGTTCTCGAACCTCATCGTTCAGTTAAACAATTCTGTCCCATAATTCAGCCAGTATAGCCCAAGTCCACAACTCGTAGTGGCGGGGAAAATGAAGAGAAGGCACTTTGTTCAGTTGAGCTGAGAAAGGATCAAGACCGGGACGGATTCATGTTAAGACTGCAACTGTGACGTGGTGTCAAATAGATCGATCTATCTATCCAGTCTTGATAACAAAGTGGAGTACTGTTGATGTTACAATACGGAATTCGGTGTTACGCGTAGGATTAGCGGTCCAAAATGTCAAAAAAAAAACAATTGGGTTCGAAAGCCTATGGCACCAGTTGCACGAAGGTAAGCAAAATTGTACAACAAACAGCTATCGGCGACGCGCACGCATGCCTGTCATCGACCGGCATCGCACAGTGTCAAGGCTCGCAGACCAGACAACGGCGGGTGGAATATTGGCTCGGCTCAGTCTGGCGATTCTGATTGGTGGTGCGATCACACAGAAATCACGATAGATCGGCTCCAATAGACGAGGAAGCGGAACATTGATACATACACACGGAAAGTATCTTGGTTTCGGAAGAGGCGACCTTTGTGACATGGTGAATGACGGATACGAAGGTGCAAAATAGGTGGAGATCAAAAGTACATGGGGGAAGTAAGCATATGAGCAATTATTGTGTCGTTGGACGCACTGTTACGAATAGAAAAACGCTCAGCACTATTACTCACCGCCAAATGCGACATATTAATGTCAACGAAGCTTCCGATTACTATGATGAAATCGAACACGTTCCATCCATCGCTGAAATAGTTCTGTCCAAAAGGGATAAAGAACGGAGTCAGTTAACTGGAGCTAGTGATGGAAACGCATCCAGATTTTCATGGAAAACACCCTAAGGTCAAGCTTCACCCAGCAAGTGTTTTACTGGTATACCCAGTCAACAGTAACCCCTCGGTTGAAACAAAGGCCACCTGGGGTGTGAAAAGGACGGTGAAGTAATAAAACCTATGTTAGACGAATGTGTGTACCGTACCACTGCGAGGGCACTAGCAGCTTACTAAAAATACACCACTTGGCTTCCTCAATCCACTTGAGCTGTTCCAGCCTTAATGTGTCTGGAATTGGAAGGGGTTTTAACCAGGTGACGAAAGATAGGCTAAATGGCTCTCTAGTGTCCAGTCCTGGTTCCAGTTTTTCACAGTCATGGTAGAAAGTAAACCTTTTTGGTTTACGATATTGAGTAACAGTCAGGAGTGGAAACGAAACAATCGTTTGTTTGGGGGACGAACAGAAGATTGTCGGAGATATATTGATCGGTCATGAAGGTCCGGTGCTGTGAAAAGGACTCCGAAACTGATATGATTCATTACCCAGGGTCGAATTAACTCCGGGTGCGTCGCGAAATCCATACTTGTTCAGTGTTAGGGTTTGCGTGTACGCTACCAGTGAGAGATTACGGAGTTGTATCACCCAGCCTTACCACTGGGTTTGTTGAACCGTTTAAACAGCTGAAAAACTTTCCTTGATAAATATCATCATTGGCGAACCGGTATCCCGGTTCGGAATACCATAAAACGGGGCCCGGGATAAGCACTCTATCCTGATTCGATTTTGTACTACAGACTAACAGCCTAGACTATGCGGGTGACCTGTGCGTCCTAGGTTAGCCATAATTTAACAATGGCCCCGACTGCAAGCGAATTTACGTCAGAGAATAGAAAGTGTCTAACTGATCAATGTCGATGTTCTCATTAGCATACTACAATCCACAACTTGCTGGACAATGCCATTTGTCTACCGTCTAAGGCCACAGTTGCGCACACCTGCACGTTACCGCTAGTGCCAATGAATGGGAGCAGATTTGTGAAGTATCAAGTATAAAGATGCGCATACTGGGAGACTCACTTTGAAACCGAAGGCAGCAAGCTTCAACACAAACTCCACCGTGAAAACTCCGGTGAATATCATGTTCAAGTAGTCCAGTGCATCAGCATAAGCACCAGGTTGTCCTTCAAACTGAGAGCACGGGGATGGTTGGGCGGATCAATTGTGCTCAAAGATGAAGGGGTCAGTCACACATTTTGGGGGGTGATTACAATTACTATCTTGGAATGATTCATTAGCATAAGCTCAACCCTCTATCCCCAATTTAACCAGAAATGCGAAACAAACAAGAAATTTCGCTTCAGTCACAAGAAGGTGACTCAGACGGCACGGTGGAAAATTTCAACCGGCGAGTCCATCTGTGATGGAAGACTGAGAAGTAATATGCAGTTGTTTGGTACCCGTTGGAGATAAACAGCAATAGGTATCTCACGAACCACTGATGAATTTTGAACCCGCGACCTCTGAAAACGCCAGATTACTTGACAGTGAGTCTTTTATCAGTAGTGCGATCAATGCGCATTTGAAAAGCATCTAGCTTCACTAAATGTCATTCATTCAGACCACATCATGTTGACTGACTACTTGAGTTACGACCGAAAGGTCTCGTGCTCCAGTCTCCATATAGATGAGGTAGTTGCATGCCTTTATTGATTCCCACGAAGGGCGATCTAGCTCTTTTTAGATTCACGGCTTTTCAGAATTAAGTTACTTGGCTTTCGGGTTTAAATCTCCATTGGAAACTACAAACCTCCCCTCTATCTACCAACTGGAAACGAATAGTTCCCGTACGATTTTAGGTGGCCCTGAGTTCAACTACTCTTGAGCTGCATTCAGGTTGACACTCGTAGGTTATCCCCATGAGGCGAGATCTTCCTGTCAGCTTCAACTGGGGGTTTCCGATCTGGGATCGTTTCTCCAACCCCACCTGCGATTGATTTCGATGCGCAAGCTTTTACTTTTTTATGGGCATATGAGTTCCAAGAACTTTCTAGCTGGGTGTGAGCTCGGCTGCCTAGCCTTACGCGAGGCAGTCTTTTGAGCGATCGAGGGAGGAGCATGTGTGTGTGTAGGTTCGACTCAAAATATGACTCAGTTATCAAGATCACATGCCAATGATCTATTTGTGAATTGTGTTTGCAGATCAAAGTGCAAAAAAAATGCAAGTGTACACTAGGAGGTCTGTAAAATAAGTCCGGATGGTCACAGAGGATAATGTGACTGCGAGACAAAACAAACCTAACTGGTCACCAAAATCAATTCAACTGATTAAAAAAATGGCAACTGAACTACTCAGATTGCATGTTGATAAAAGGAGAACAGACTGACTAATATTCAAAATTTAGGTACATCCTTCTACTGTAAAATGAATTCCCATCTCAGCTGTGGTACACTTATTCTGTAAAAAGGACACTGTGATATATGTTGCTCTCATAAAAACCAAATCCAGTTGACGCACGAAAGAGTGACACGTGATTAGCTCGTCGCGACATTGAAAACTAACATGCAGATCGGTTAAATGAACAACTTTTCTAAACTTCAGACCACATACAATGCATACATACTGGATATAGTTTACTTAACCGAGTGTTGTGTTATGCTGAAGTGTGAAGCGCGGAACTTCATCTGGTTGACGATGTGTTAGTTTGACCTGTAGAATACCGGACTGATTGCTTCTATTGCATACGATTAGACCGCTGTCGAATGGAAGGAACCTCAAAGGGGTTGAACTCAAAGTGAAATAACTCACTGAGTAAATGACAGGCACGTAGCGTGTACCGTTAATCGATAATACGTCTACTAATGGTGGGTCGATTCAGTTGTAAGTGTAGTGACAAAATCCAAAATGGTGGTAACACTACCACAGTTGATTGTGCTCAAAAGTATTCACGCTTGCAATGTAGGTTGAGAACGACAACAGGTATCGATTCCAATCTGACAGTACGATTTTGGCTGCTGGTTAAAATAGTTTAGGTGATAGCTCTGGAAAACACTCAATTTTCGGTACCTTGTGATTTTGACATTCAAATGCAGCACTTCACCTATTGCATCACAAAAGGTTATCAGATTACACGGACATCAATTGAATAAACGTCGCCACGTTGACACTATATTCTCTTCCCAGTGGAATGAGACGAAATTATATAGAAGATGGAAAACGGTTACTTTAGTTCCTCGATTGAAACGAATTCTCCAAATTCATTCCTAAAAGAAAGTGAAATCTGATCAATACTTTGCCTCATTCAATGCACCTGGAATCGAAATTGTTTTCGGAAGCACAACGGACTAGGAGCTCGGTGGTCGGACCAATGGCCATATGATTCACAATCAATTAGCGCACCCGAACTAACAATATATTCTAATACCGCTAGCAGCGAACTACATATGAAGCTGCTTGATGGATATCCAGCGATGATCGATCAAGAATGTCCTATTCAAGAAATGTGAAATTGCAAGACGACTGTGACAGCTAGGAGTCACTTTATCTACTGGAACTTTGCCATCACCTCCTGTTCGGTGTCGAACGTGTGCTTGGATGGCCAGTCCCGACTTGGGAGTATTTTTACTTCACAGCCTTTGGTGGTCATACGGAGTCAAGTAGGGCATTCTTCCTCAGTTTATTTCTGAGTGATTATGTGGGAGGTGCGCGACAAACCTGCGAAACAACCTCATTTAACTCGGTGAAAATGCAATTCCGTAGAATCCAGAGCATGTAACTCGTCAGTTAACAGTGGGCAAATTTTGCTAAAGCGTGAAACTCAGAACTTTCGATATTTGATCCAAAGAATAATTTTTATTGGCAATAAAATTGAAAGCTTCAAGGAACAAGCGGAATTATCAAATTTTCCATCACTTTTTCCCTATCTTCTCGATGACCTACAGCATTTGTGGCGTCTTGAGCGACAAACGAAGAGTAGAGTACGGCTCATGTGGGCCGGCATCGTCATCCGAGTGAAATGATGTGTCACCCAACAAACGTTGGTCATGCGTGCATATGAGGACTCAGTATTCAGTCATTGTCCTGAATACCTCATCACCTCAAAACCACACTCACGCTTCACCTGAGATGACCTTGGCCCTACAGCCGTTGGGTTACTCCGTTCAGTAGTCGGCTAAAAATGGAATCATCACATTCAATGATCCTCTTGAGTTTGTGGTGGAACGAATTAGAGAACTTTGAATTAGGGAACACAGAAAGTCATTCATTCACAGAAACTAGTTTAAATTTATTTACAGCGTAGCCTCGAAGACTGGCGAAACATCCTCAAGATTCTGCTCTTGCTCCAAATCCCTCTAACTAGTTACAAGTCGAAGAGTTTACGCCATATAACAGTTGCGACTGTGTCGTTTTCTGACTTTTTCTTATATGTGCTTGGATATCTTCCGTACGGAGTTGAACGAAGATATCCGGAACATCACTTGAGGCCTAGTACTCTTCAGTTTAATGAGGTCGTGTTGAGTCAGGTCCGCCAACCACTGTTCAGGAGGAAAATCGATCCGAGATGTTTGGTGGAATTACTTGCAAGTTAACAGATACAAGTCAATTACGGTTTCCGCCAAAATGGTGATTTACCGCACACGTCGAAGTTTGTTAGGAAGCGGGCAACTTCTGGATTCCTGACGAATTAGGACGCGCCACCGATACCATCATCATTTATGTCATGAGCATAAGTGAGACCGCCGCCCTCGTGGTCTTGATTCTAAATGATGCAAACTCGGGCGATCAAACCCTGTTAAATCCAGTTGATGCATCTTTACTGAGAACGAAACGCCAGGAGGATTACCTCTTCAGGACGGATCACGGTGTTTAAGGCTTTGCTTTGTATTCGATCTGGTGATATCCTTTAGTGTTGTACCAGACGTGGACAGAAATTCACGTAACTTCAATGGTTAATGTCAACCTCAGTGATTTAACTAACAAAATTACCTGTGAGCAATATCGTACTAGTTGTGTGGTAGTATGCCTTCAAATTGTAAAAGAAATTCAGGGGTAATTAGTACTTTAATCTTATGCGACTGGTCTTGTACATGGATACATTAGGTGAAGAGTTTCGCCGTTAGGAATGTAACGGATTTGACTGCTACAATGTTATGGCGGCTCCGATTGGCTCAAGCGCATACGGCTAACGCCGGATGACAAAAACACCGAAATCCACCCAGAATGAACAGCAGGTTTACGCGTAACGCATTGTAGAAAAGATTTGGTTGTTGTAGGAAACACGAAGGCAAGAAGGTCCAATGAGAAGCAGGCAACGAGACAAGGCAATCAGTCGATGTGATATACTTTCTGGCTAGTTCTAATGTACGTTTTTAGTTAATTAGTAATTAATCAAGTTGAAAAGCACAGTGGTGATTTTTCGGTCTTCCTTCACCACGTGGCTCCTCGAAATTTCCGGAGTCAAAGTAATTATGTGCAGATATCTCCTAATTTTAGAGCTTTCGGAAAAATGCAGAGTACCTCGAAAAAATTAGACTCTTGCGGGGAGAATTCTACCCAGCAAAATAGTCCCAAATGGTCAGTTGAAAGTACTCTACTCTGAGGAATGGACTTTACTGAAGTCTCCAGAAATGGACGACCACATCACCATTCTGAGAACAAAGTTGCAGTTCGGAAAATATCTTCCGATCGGTTCGGTATTGTGCGGCCGGGTTTTTTTAATGACACTGTCTCCCATTGTCTTATATCTTATGTCTGTGGCCAAAGTTACACTGATTGGGAATGAACTATACACGGTTGTGTAAACTCCAAGCAACATCACACTGGCTGCTAACTCCCGATTTTTCTTGGAGGCAAAAACAGGGCAACTCGAGTTCGATCGAGGGCTTGCCACAATGCGCACTGAGTTATCGAATTACTTATAAAAAATCCGTACAGTGTATTCTGTCGTAAACGCTGTGGCTTAGGTAGTTACAATGTAATCATACTGTGGGTTAGTGGATTAAAAGGAAACTTTTTCTGAAAAAAAGTCAAGTAAGTTACAGAATCTACAGACAATCAAATGAGGACGAGAATCGGAAAAGTTCTCCTCATTCTTCAAATCATCAAAACCCGCAAAAATAAACAGATATTGAGTAATTCTAGTGGCGACAGGGATAATTGTAAAGGCTGGTTGGATGGATCAGGGCTCACTTTCATTGCCAAGGAGATTGTGTTGATCAGAATGAAGATGAAGATGCAATACTCGAACGGCTGAGAGGTGATGAACCACCAAATTCGATACTGGAAATTCTGTTTTGGTATGTATCGTTTGACCGGGCGGGCTTTCAAGGAGAATTCAATACACTTGCGCTGTACATAAAAGGCACGGAACACGAGTGAGACGAGGTCTGGTTGTCCATCACAAACAAATTAACACAGAAACAACGCAGATTGGCGGGAGTTGAAACCGGATTATACTCTCGTTACCTTACACACACAAACTGGGATTAGGAAAGGTTAAATTAACCCTTCTTCAGGCGGTTTTTTCAGTATGTTCGAATCGGTTTGATTTTGATTGGGATTGTGCCGACTTTCCTCATCTCCTGGATTGTAGACTCCACGTCCTGATCGTTTAGAATGAATCCATCGATAGAGGAAGTAACCTCCTACCGCAGCCAGAATGACTACAAGAATCGGGACTACAATAGCCGCAGCCAAAGCCCCATCACTCAGACCCCCGCTGGATTGGGCTGCAGATTCCGCTACTGCTGCCATTGTCCGATTTACAATAGTATCGTTGGGATATGCCTCTATGGCAATTTCACGCCTGCGTCGGATCAAGTGGGGACCATCGATACCGGCTGATTCGGTAACATAGGGCAAAAACGGTAGGCAAGAAGTTAAAGATCCACAAGCAACGACCTTGAGTTCGGTATACTCAGGAGACAAACAGGAATCTAGTCCACCTTCAACCTGGTTGTGAGGACTCAATGCAACGGGATAGTTGAACTGCAGCAAATAATGAACAAATGAATGGAGTCTAATGTGACCAATCAGGAGAGTGTTGGTAGACGAACCAATTGATATCGCTGCTCTATGGCTATCACGGGTACAATTGAGTAGTACGCTAACTTCCGATTGGTCACCATCCGCACCGACTGAGTACAGACGAAGTAGAGTCAATGGCAGTGATTCCGCGGTACATAGTCGATTGGAGAATTGTACTTCCATACATACAGATGACGTCAAATTCTCGTTTTCTTTTGTAACGTCTAGGTAGCTGTGCAAATCGAAGGCGCGCTGGTGTACATACGAAAATTCATACGTCCCTGACAGAAGAGAGCTAATGAGTAGAACGAAGAACATTAGACGCCCAACGTTTTCATCCACAGGCAATTTTAAACAGCATTTAGTGGTTTAACTTGTCCAGATAAATCCTCATCATGGTTACGTTGCACTTGGATGTATGTGGGGACATATTCCTCTTACGAAAAAAATGTAACATGTCGCAGCCGGTACCCTGGCCGGTGGCGTTCTTATTAATAGCACATGCAGATAAGGAAATACGAGTGGTTGTGCTTGAGCAGATGCTATTGGTCAGTCCAAATGTTCGCACGGTGCTTTTTATCTGACTCTGATCGATATCGCACGTCTTCACAGACGCCAATGTCTTTCGTTCACCCCAATTCGACCTAACGCGAACCGAGGCTGCGCATCCGCATCCAATCGAGCGATGCACACAAGCACACATGCAACCAAGCGTGTAGTCGGCACATGCTTGGACATCAAATTGATGACGTGCATACTCCGTCTTTGTCCTCGTCTTGGTGCGCACAACCAGCCGATTGGCGTTTGAGTTCGACAGCAACAGTCAAGAAGAGCAACGGAACACTCGAGGCTGTATCGTATGTGTGTGCGCGCACATACGAATAAGGCGGATGTGACCGAGCGCAAGCCGATAAGAGTATGCTTCCACTACCGGTTCATTCTATGACCGTGTGATGGCTGATGGGTGTGATTGAATACGAAGTTCAATAACCGGGAAGCTGTTGCCAGTTTGCATGAAAACTCGATTGCCTATGGTATCGATGATACAGTAGTTAGGGTTCCGTACCGAAGGCGCTGATCTGGTGAGTCGAACCACAAATTAGTTTCTTAAAAGTCATATATGAATGAACGTGTAATGAATACGACTGTTGTATTCATGGGCTGAATGAAAATCTTTCAGTTGGTGACGCAGCTGAAACACGAGACAGCCTTCATCCTGCACGCTTGATTGAGAGACATAGTAGATGATGGATTTACTAGTCTCATACTAACTTCGCCTCACTTTGAAAATGAGTGTACATTTGACTTTTGATGTGACACTCCCCACAGGTATATTCTTCCGCCCTTATTTGACAGTTAACATTTACTTATTAAAGATGATTTACTCTGTTACATATTTGTAACTAAGCTCTAGAGAGCGCAGTTGTGAAGACCCCCAAAAACAAACACGTCAATGCAACCGCCAAAAACGCGCTCACTGTTCAACCGATCACGTGACATTCTCATGCGTCTTCTTGTTCCATTCACTCGCATCTTGAATCGGAGGCTGTCAATTTATATGCGAAACTGTGAAACTAATATTATCGCTTCTATTCCAGCGATCTATTAAATTTGATTGAATTTCTTATTCGTTGCGCCCATATAGTCCATTTGAAAATCAACTATCAAAGGTGACGTTTAGTTCTTGATTGTCGCTCATTCTTGAGTGATTCGGAACATGATGTCGTGCTGTTTAGAGTTTGCATTAAATTTCTCAAATGAACCCAAGGAAACAGTTCGCTACTTGGAAGCAGAAAATCAGTGATCCACAAGTCGAACGCCGCATCAGATCTTACCAGGCAGTGTTCTACGAGCGGAGGACATCGGTCGTTACTGAGAGGAAATAAATTCAACTCTGCTCGGTACCGGAGACCATTCGTGGTGTCCAAAAGTTGATCAGCCGAGGAGCGATTGAACACTAAGCCATATGAAGCAAAACTACACTGTTAAAAATGAACATAAGTTTTGGTTAAATGCAGCGACTACCAGTCAGTTGAGGCTGAAAGGTACTGGGTCCGAATTTATGGCCGAGGGTTTAAGGTTTGTATTGCCGTTTGGTCTGTCGCGGCACACATTGTTGAGGATTTCCAACTGGGACTATTTGGTACAGGGCGAGTTCACAGGTTAAAAGTTCAAACCCTCCACACCGGTTGGGTTACTAACTTCCCTATCTCATTTTCAGTTGGTTAACAGCGCAAATTCACGACCTCCAGAAGGTTTCACCATAGGCCAACATTCAAAGGTTTTGATGATGGACATGAGACGACAGAAAAGACTGGATTCATCTTCAGCTATAAAATCCGGAAACATGTTTTACAGTGGTCATAGCTGTCAGATTTTCATTCGCAAATGATCTGGAGAAGCATAGATGAACCATATGGCAACCTTGATAGCAGTCTAATCTTCATTCCAGATACGTTATCAGTTTCATATATATGTGTCACACATTTCACAACATATCACTGGCAAAGCGCTCAGTGAGTAAGTTTTATGAAATTTCACTAAACGACGCTTCTCAAATATACCTCTCAGGTATTGAATGTCATCAAATGAGAAAAGTTTTTGAGATTCAGTTACACTCCATTGAATCCAAGAACCCATGTCACTTGTCGTCGTAATTTTGTATCCACATTTCCTCCGACCGTACTGACTGTCTAGTTCAGTTTGCGTTATCAGAGCTGAGAACAACCAGCACAGCTGGGCGTGAATATACTCACCTGATTTTTGTCCAATTCACAATTTCTATATTCTTGTTCACCTTCTTGTTGGAATGTGACGATGACGAAACCAACAAAGATGTTGATCATGAAGAAGGCAATCACAATGATGTAGGCAACGTAGAAAATTGCCACAATCGGACGATTATTGTACACCTTTCCATAGTCTTCCGCATAGGAATCGATGGAGCTTAAAAGGAACGGAACGAATAAGTGGAGTGGAGTTAGCCGATTTGACCAGGCCGTTATCAAGACTCGCAAACTGGTCTGACCGGTCACCGTATTTTACACAGGATTTACAATCAAAGACAAATAGGCAGTCTCAACTGCTATGAAAGTGTTTTTAGCGTCTATTGGAGTGTAATCAGCAAGGTTTTGCATCGGAACATGGAGTTGTAGTGCCTACACAGTTCGTTGAGCGGGATTTTCCAACTGAATAGGTTGTACAAAGGCCGACATCCGTTTCAGTTCGTGTGACCTTTGGTACACGCAGTATATTTTCTTGGCGGAGCACATTACTCACAAAGTTGCTGATAACTTTTCGACAACAACTTGCTTCTCTCAGCTATATTCTGGCCACAGATTTCAGCGTTTAAAGTGCAGATATGTCCCAACAGTAGTCAAGAAGAAAAACAAAAAGTCCTTTTGTTGTTTTATAATTGTGGTGCCAACTGTGATCTGGATTGGACCCAGAGTTGGCTAGTTTTCCTCTCTCAAACCGAGAGGTTCTCAAGCGTTGGCCGCTTGAAGCAGATGTCATTCAACTATTGAGGCGGGGAAATTTTCGACGGGATATAAATAGCCATATAATTTGCTGTGCATATCCAATTGAAAGCTTAACCTTATGCACCTATATCGGTTTATCAAAGCTCTGAAGCGATGAGAAGGCAAGAAAAAAAGCTTCTGAAGAATGATTCTAAATTCCGGAAAACCCATAGAGTGGCAGTCAAGAAATGCTCTGTGATAGGGCAACAACATATTGATTGAAAAGAAACTGACCACAAACAAGTCAGCGCTGTTGTACGCAACACTGTTTCTGGAACTGAGTCCTTCGTGACTGGTGTGCTGGTGTGCAGAGAATCTGAGACTGATCAAAGTCAGTGGTTAAGCTGCTGTTTCAGCCCTGGTTAACAAGGTAAGCTGTCGCAAGCTACCAAGAACAACTTGGCTCACTTCAGAGCTATTATTATACCCTTTAAAAAGTGGCATTTGCACACTAATCTACACGTAAAACCTAGTACAAAAAGACTGCGCACAACCCATCCCCCATTAAAGTTGATTAATCCCCAGAGTTAATGAAAAATATGTAGTAAAAAAAATTCCTGGCTCTCACTTCCTTTTTTTGAATTGGAGTTCAAATACTGTCTACTGGTTTCCAATGGTACTCTTATGAGCAGACTGCATTCAGTGTCGGTGATTGTGCCATGGTCAAAGCAGGAATGTCATGTGACTATCCTCAAATCTCAATCCGAGCATTCTTTAATTTGAACTTTCCGCGCCTGGAATTTGTATATGCCTAAAATTTCATATGTACCAACAACTCGACTAGTTAGTTTTTTTCTTCAAAACATCGTGAGCACTCTGTTTGTTACTGTTCCAACCAGATCACCAAATCCGCTACCGTGAACGCATGGATGCTTGCGTGCAACAGGCATGCAGACACTAAGCCAGCTATATACGTACTTATTCGGAGCTTGGTCAGATTCAGGAATTCGGTCATTTTGGCATCCGAATTCCACGGTTTATTCTGAAAACATACTTTTGTTAAAAACTATCGGCACGCATCGTAACAGAATCCGAAGAAGGATTCAAGCACATAAAGTTCAGCCACGACCAAAGAAGTTGTGTGGCGTCACTCACCCTTCAGCTGCAAAGTTCACGTTGTGGGAGTGGGAATTCCGAGGAAAGGGCCACCCTATCTGCGGTGGTGTTCCTTGGGATTGAGGGTAACATATTTACCTTCTATATATATATATATATATATATATATATATATA